TAATTTGGTTTTTGCTATTTTGATGGGGAGAAAAATTTCTCAATTTTAATTTTAATCTACATTGTAAATTGTGTAGTGAAACATGTTTAAACATATTTATTAATAATCTGGAAGTTCCTTCTGAGAATTACCTGCTCATAATGGCACATTCATCTTTTATACCTGAGAGTTCTTGAGTTTTTAAAAAACTTTGCATTTAGTCCTTTTCCAAAAATAATTTGATAATGTTTACCGTAAATGACATATACAAAATAAAAGTGATAATCTAGAAATAGTCAAAAGCTCAAAACCATGGAAAAGGAAGACAGCATTAAATAGAGCTCTCATGAATAAGCATCAAATCTGAGCTATCCAACAAAAAGGGAAGCCTTCTAAGTTATATAATTTTAATCATAAAGGAAGAAGTACATGAGTCACAAAAAGAGACCACATTTACTTCTGGCATTAAATTCTAAAACAGATTTTTCATTTGGGCTCTTACATAGAATAATACAGAGTGACGGTGTAGTGGTATTCTTAATGATAGTTTTACAACAAATGCAGAAGCAATTTTTTTTTTTTTTTTTTTTTTTTTTTTTTCAAATATTTTTTTTTTTTTTTTTTTTTTTTTTTTTTTTTTTTTAGCCAGAGTCTCACTCTGTCACCCAGGCTGGAGTGCAGTGGTAACGATCTCAGCTCACTGCATCCTCCGCCTCCCAGGTTCAAGCAATTCTCCTGCCTCAGCCTCTTGAGTAGCTGGGAACACAGGCATGCACCACCATGCTCAGCTAAGTTTTGTATTTTTTTTTTTGTTAGTAGAGATGGCCATGTTGGCCATGCTGGTCTCAAACTCCTAACCTTGTGATCCGCCCACCTCAGCCTCCCAAAGTGCTGGGATTACAGGCGTGAGCTACCATAGCCGGATGCAGAAGCAATTTTTATGACTTTTTATGTCTGAAACTTTTTATACATTTATAGTTCATAAAGTACTCTATATAGTGCTTTAAAAACTGGTTTATCAATGTTTAAATATTCTTGGACTTTTTAAATGAGAAACAGTTATTAGCAATCAATTTTTTCTTTGGCTGCAGGGAATTGGAGGCATTTCTTCTCCAAACTGGCCCAAATGATAATATTATAGGGCAAAAGCTAATTAGAATGGCAACAATAGAAAGTTGTACTTAGGCTGGGCATGGTGGCTCACACCTGTAATCCCAGCACTTTGGGAGGCTGAGGCAGGAGGATTGCTTGACCTCAGAGGTTTGAGAGCAGCCTGGGCAACATAGCAAGACCTCGTCCCTATTAAAAATAAAAAAATTAGTTGGGTGTGGTAGCGCACACCTGTAGTCTGAGCTACCTGGGGGTGGGGGTGGGGAGCTGAGGCAAGAGGATTGCTTGAGCCTGGAGATCCAGGCTGCAGTGAACTGTGATTGTGGCACTGTACTCCAGTCTGGGCAACAGAGCAAGACCCTGTTTAAAAAAATAAAAAATAAAGAAATAAAAAAGAAAATTGTACTCAATACTCATAAAAGATTATTTGCCTTTGATTGTGGGATGATACTAAATCTATTTCACTGTATAAGAATATACCTAAATTTAAAGTAGTCTTCAACATATGTAAAGAAGCTGAATTACTTCCATAATAAAATAAATGCAAATTAAAACTATGCTGAAGTACCTTGTTTTTTCATTGTTGAAGATCAAAAAGGCTTGATCATTTCTTGTCTTGTTGAGCATGTTTGGAAACAGGTTCCCTCATATAAACTGATGCGAATATAAATTGGTAAAACTCCAGTGGAGGGCAATTTGGTAATAGCTATCTAACTACAGATTCATGGATTTTTAACTCTTTGATCAGGTAATTTACTTCCAATAAATGATGTTATCAAGGTCATCAGTGACCACCACATTGTTAAATCCAGTGGTCTGTTCTTGGGGTTGTTTTGACCGTCATCAACATTTAACTACCCAATCCTCCTTGCGGAACTTTCTTCACTTGGTTGTGAGGACACTATACTCTCCTGGCTTTACTCCTCCCTCCCTGGCCTTCTTTATCTCTCCACATCTAAATGTTGGGGTCCCCCAGAACTCAGTGCTTGAACACCTTTTCTATCTATTCTTCCTTTGTTTCTGTCTAGTCTTATGGCTTTAAATGTCATCTCTACGCTCTTGGCTCCCACATTTATATTTCAAGCTGAACCTCTCCTAACTCTAACATACTCTCTGGTCAGAGCCATAGTAGTCCCTCATCTGGTTTCCTTACATCTACCATTCCATCCTTCAATTTCTTCTTTTTTATTTTCTAATAATAGCTTTATTGAGATATTATTCACATACCATATACTTCTCTACTGCCAACACCTTTTCTTTCATTTTGTTCACCCATTTAAAGTATCCAATTCTAATCCCTTTGTAGTTCATAAGTGTAATAACTGGCTGTTCATGCTCATGCATGAGCTCTGCCTCCCTCAAGCCTTGTTATGACATCGTCATATTACCTGTCTGATGTGAACTTAGAAAAATAAAAATAAGGCTGGGTGTGGTGGCTCACGCCTGTGAGAGGCCGAGGCAGGCGGATCACCTGAGGTCAGGAGTTCAAGACCAGCCTGGCCAACATGGTGAAACCCTGTCTTTAAAAAAAATAATAAAATAAAAAATAAATAAATAAAAATAAAATATTGTGTATAATTCAGTGACTTTTAGTATACTCACAGAATTGTGTAGCCATCCCATAATCAACTTTATAAATATTATAATTATCCCCAAAATTGAAATCCCATGTACATTAGCAGTCATTCTCCTTTTCCTCTCAACCATTGTGCCAACTCTTCCGCCTTGAACCCCCAAGCCTAAGCAGCCATTTATCTCCTTTTTTTTCCATAGATTTGCCAACTCTGGAATCATAGAATATGTGGTGACTGGCTTCTTTCATTTAATGTAATGTTGTTAAGGTTTAGTCATATTGTAGTATATATCGATACTTAATTTCCTTATTGCCAAATAACATTTCATTGTCAAAGCAGGAACGAGAGAGAGAGAGCAGGGAGGGAGTTGGGGTAGGTACCACATACTTTAAAATGACCAGTTCTTGCAAGCGCTTAGTCACTATCATGAAGACAGCACCAAGCCATGAGGGATCCACCTCCATTATCCAAACACCTCCTACCAGGCCTCACCTCCAACGTTGGGAATTATAATTCAACATGAGATTTGGATGGGGACAAATATCCAAACTATGTCACCTGCTTCCTCACTTCCCTCAGGTCCTTACTCAAATGTTGTCATCTCAGCAAGGCCTTCCTGGTGAAATATGTTCCTGCGTTCCACCACCCTCAATCCTTAACAGAGCCTGTCTGCCTTCTTGCATTATTTTTCTCCATGGGACATATTACTAGCATATTTATCTTGTTTATTTATCTCATTTGTTGTCTTTCTTTGCTCACTAGAATGTAAGCTCTATAAGGGTAGAAGTTTTTGTTTATTTTCTTTAATGCTCTATTCCCAAACCTAGAAAACTACCTGATGGACAATAAGCACTCAGTATCTATTTTTTTTGTTTGTTTTTGGGAGACAGAGTCTTGCTCTGTGACCTAGGCAACTATCTTGGCTCACTGCAACCTCCACCTCCTGGGTTCATGCAATTCTCATGCCTCAGCCTCCTTGAACTACAGGTGCGCACCACTGCACCCAGCTAATTTTTGTATTTTAGTAGAGACAGGATTTCACTATGTTGCCCAGGCTGGTTTGGAACTCCTAATCTGAGGCAGTCTACCTGCCTCAGCCTCCCAAAGTGCTAGGATTACAGGAATGAGCTACCATGCCCAGCCTCTCAGTATCTATTTTGAATGAATAAATAACATTGCCTCTGGAGAGGAAACTAGGAGGCTGGGCAATAAAGTTGAAATGAAATATTTTGCTATACAGTTTCATACCTTCTAAATTTTGAATAATATACATAGATTACCTATTTAAATAAATAGAGTTAAAATTAGTAATTGTGAACAGAGTTATCATTACATAGAACCTAGGAAGAAAAATAGATTTTGTGAGTGTGATTGTGAACTTCAAGGTAGTACAATATATTTAGCAAGTACCTAAACTAAAAGGGATCTATAACTTAATTCCTTCTAGGTTCTTGTAAGGGCTTCTGAAAATAGAAGGTAGAGGTTTTGGCATAAGTAGTTTAAGAGTGACAAAATGTGTTTTTTTACTCACTTTAAGGTTTGATAACATTATTGTAATTTAATGCAGTCCTACAAATTATGCCAAGAATACACTTTTATTGTAGCTGGGGAGGAAAAAAGAGTTTTTGCTTGCCTTTCACCTGGATTTCCAAATCATTCTATTTTTAGAGATGTTATAAAGTGCCTCTAAAATGATGGCAACCATTTATTTCAAAAACCCAATCAGTGGGCTGGGTGAGGTGGCTCATACCTATAATCCCAGCACTTTGGGAGGCCAACATGGGTGGATCACTTGAGGTCAGTTCAAGACCAGCCTGGCCAACATGGTGAAACCCTGTCTCTACTAAAAATACACAAATTAGCTGGGCATGGTGGCATGTGCTTGTAATCCCAGCTACTTGGGATGCTGAGGCAGGAGAATTGCTTGAAACTGGGAAGCAGAGGTTGCAGTGAGCTGAGATCATGCCACTGCGCTCCAGCCTGGCAACAGAGTGAGACTCCATGTAAAAAAACAAAACAAACAAAAAAACCCAGTCAAACAGCCCTTGTATACTACAGTTTAAAAAAATATGTAAGGATAAAGCCAGGGCTCAAATTAGCCAAAAATGCAACTTAGATACTCCCTAAGTAGCTGCTTTCTGACTCCCTCCTGTATGGTCCATAGCCATATACTGTGCTGTGGTTCACATCTAGGGTTTTACATGAGAGAATAGCACAGTGCTCAAGTGTAGTAGGGGAACAGACCTTAGATATCCCTCACCCAGACACTTTGAGGGTAAGAAAATGTAAATCTGTAGATAATAAAAATTTTTTGCTTTTTATTCTTTTCTGATACAGGGTTAAAGAAATGATTCCTCCAAGGCCTCCTCTTATCCGTCGGACAGGAGGAGCTCAGAAGGCAAGTGCCAGAGCCAAGATGAAATGATAAGTAATACTATATTAAGTACATGCACTTGATTATTGCATGGACTCTTTAATATGTCTTCTAGAAGGGGTGAAAACTTGTTTGCAGCTTTACATATTTTCATTGCTGGTTCTATTTGTGATCAATGACATATAGCATACAATGTTTTATCTCTGGCTGGTGGTCTCTCAGCTGGGAAGAAAAGGGCATTTTACATTCAGAGTATTACTGGGTGTGGTGGCACGCACCTGTAGTCTCAACTACTAGGGAGGTTGAGGCAGGAGGGCAGCTTGAGGCCAGGAGTTCAAGGGGGAAGTAAGCTATGATCACACCACTGCACTCCAGCCTGGGCAACAAGAGTCAGACCTAGTCTCTAAAACAAACAAACAAACAAAGTAGTATTGAACATAAACCAAATCTCAGTTTTAGACTTCCAATCCATGGTCTTGACCTCTTTGAGGCCTCCACCAGATGTTTTGTATTTTCTTAGGCAGTGAGTGACTACCACATACAGATCAAGAATATTTCTAGAGCCATTCTAGATGAATACTACAGAATGTTTGGAAAACAGGTAGCCACACTGGAGAGTGATATGGATAGTGAAACCTTGGAGGAGCAGAAGTGCCAGCTGAGCTATGAACTTAATTGCTCTGGAAAATACTTTGCTTTCAAAGAACAACTCAAGGTAAATCATTCACTTGTTTAATTATTCCACAGGTTTGTATGGAGCACCTTCTCCGTATACCCAGTTAACATTTTCTCCTCTGATTATGTTCAGCTATACTCCCACCTTTCTTGGTTGGGGCAAAGAGCTAAGTTCTCTATGATAGAGTGTCAGGAGAAGCTCCATTCCTGCAGTCTTGGAATAACTTATTACGTATATTCTGAATGAAAGCTTTTAAGAAACTAATTATTCACTTGAGGCTGGGCCAGATTTTGGACCAGATTTCATTGTCACTATAGGAGGCAGAAACTCTGGTACTGACTCCATAATTAATTCTCCTTGCCTCTCATTCAAATCTCTCTCTAAAAAAATTATTTTTAGATTTTAACTTGAAGATGAAACAGTTATCAGGAAGGAGGACTTAATCATTAGGACTAGACTAGCATGTCTTGAGTTAGGATACATTTATCTACTGGCATTACATTTCACTTTTTAAAATTCAGAATGTATAAACAAAAACAAAAAACTCCATTCCCAGGCATCAGAGAAATGAAAATTAAAAAAAAAAAACAACTCCATATCTCTCCATAAGCTATAGAATCACTAAAGTTTGAGACATAGTTAATTTAATAATCATTTCTTGAATAATAACGGCTAACATTTATTACATGTTTGCTGTTTGCCAGGCAAATTTGCCAATGCTTCATCTTTTACTAATGTAATCCTTATAACAATCCTATAAAGTAGGTGTTCCTCATTTTATAGATGGGAAAATATAATATTAGTTGACTAAGGTATTTGTCCAAAGTCACAGAGATAGTAAAGATCAGTGTTGAGATTTAAATTCAGGCAGTCAGCTCTAGAACTCACATTCTTAACTGCTACACTACACTGCCTTTGTACACACATTTATTATGTGTCCTGTACTGTAAACAGATATAAAGAAAGAACATGGAAGTCATTGAGCAAAAAAACAACAAATGTTCATGGAAGCAAGAGGGCATTTTCAGCAGGTGATGCAGTCATGTCTCAGTTTGAGTCTTGGTTCTACATTTACTAGTTAGGTGACCTTGAAATGTGACTTTACCTCTCTGTGCCTCAGTTTCTTTACTTAACAACAGGGATAAGGTTAATATTACCACATAGGGTCATTATAAGAATTAAATAATATAATGTAAACCAGGCAATAATGTTACCCTAGTGGGGAAAAAAGAAGAAGCTGTCCTGACCAGAGCAACATGCTATGTTTATATTTGTGCAGCATTTTAAACTTCTGTACTTGTTATTTCTCTTTGGCTTCTCAATCATCTTCTGAAGTAAAATAATAATACCAGAACTACATATCCTCTTAACAAATGAGGAAGCTAAGTTACCAAAATGTAAAATAATTTATGAGGTTGTATAGTGGCAGCCTTAGAACCAGAATTTCATTCTCTGGACTCTCAGCCCAGGCCTTTCTTTCTCCCTTTGAGCTTTGAACCATATGGCCACCATGAGAGACATAACGCCTAAACCTAATGCTCAAATTTTCTTCAGCTTTATGATTCTCTTCATATAGTATGAGCTCTGCGTTGCTTCAATTAGTGATGTTGGCGATATCAAGGAAAGAAGAAATCATCTAGAGTATGTTGACTGGGGGAAAATTGGAGAGCCTATAGTCAACCAGCCACCAAAGGAGAAACCGATCACCTTCTGAAACTTTGATCAGCCTTGGACCAGAAAGCCCTAGAGAGACCTGTGCTGTCAGCATGGTGCTGGACTGTGTTATCAGATGGGTGATCTGTGTGTTTTGCAGCATGCTGTGGTAAAGATTGTGAGAGAGAAATACTTAAAGACAACATCATTTGAAAGCCAGGAGGAACTGCAGACATTTATCAGTGAGCTCTATGTGTTCTTAGTAGATCAGATGCATGTAGCCCTAAACCAGGTAGGTATCAAGAACTGAGAGCACTTTCTTTTCTCTGTAGAGCATCAAGGTCTTCTATGAATGATTCCTTCCTTTGGTTATTCAACAAATATTTATTGAAGTGTCTGCTCTGTGCTAGGCACTGAAAACACAAAGATGAGTAAGAAACTGCCTAAGCCTAATCAGTTTCAGACTAACTTTTGAAAGAACAAGGAGATATGCTTTTTCAATTTCCTAGAAAAATTAATTTCACAACTTTAAAAAATGTAATGGAATTGTCAAAAATAGATAAAATAGGCCAGGCGCAGTAGCTCAAGCTTGTAATCCCAGCACTTTGGGAGGCCAAAGTGGGTGGATCACAAGGTCAAGAGATCAAGGCCATTCTGGCCAATATGGTGAAACTCTGTCTCTACTAAAAATACAAAAAAATTAGCTGGGCATGGTGGTGTGTGCCTGTAGTCCCAGCTACCTGGAAGGCTGAGGCAGGAGAATTGCTTGAACCCGGGAGGCGGAGGTTGCAGTGAGCCGAGATCGCGCCAGTGCACTCCAGCCTGGCACCTGGCAACAGAGCGAGACTCTGTCTCAAAAAAAAAAAAAAAAAAAAAAAGATAGGTTGTGTAAATTGTGTAATGAAAATTATCATTCTATTCTGTGAACAGGTACAATTCTCCATTTTTTTATTGAAGATCATAAAAGCAGAGACAAATTATGAGTTTTCAGATTTTATACCCAAATGGCAATGACACTTCAAACACACCTTTTCTGTTTGACTAGTGGTCTGCTGTCCCACCCACTTTTCTGTTTATATTAATAAATCTTGCATCTTGCCTTCATTTGCTTATTTTTGTATATATTCAGGAGTAGTTTATTTGAAACCAGTGGCAAAGTCAAAGTCTTTTTGTCCCTCAGTAGTATCTAACCATCCGTGCCTCCTCAAATTATCTGTTTTATTTGCTTTCTCCTTCCTTGTTTTTGTTCTCTACCATCATCACCCTTAGTTTCACTTTGTTCTGTCTTCCTGGAGGAGGAAGGACAGGAGTGTCCAGCATCAAAGGATTAGGAGAACAGTCCTGCCTTGGGCATGGATGATTTGATTTGAAAAGCAATTGAGAGTGGAGCATTAGAAAAATTTTTCCTCAATAGTGGTTGGGAGCAATACATTGAATTATTTTACACTGAGGTATAATATGATCAGGTTTGCATTTGCTAAAACACTCTGATAGCACTATGGAGGATGAGTTAGAGGTGACAAAACTGATGATGTTAGTTGATTATTGCATAACAAGGGGAAAAAGTTTAAGTTAAGTTTATGGTTCAGTGGGTAATTGATACCATTCAGTACTAAAAAGAAAAGAAAAACATTAATCAGGACATGGAATGCAATATCAGTAAATTTAATGGGAGGCAGATGGTGCTGAATTCGCTTTTGAACATTGGCTCTAGTGGGGTTTTGCTTAAGATAGAGATCTGAGCTAGAAATGAGATTTGGGGAGCCATGATATATGGATGCTATGGTAATAGATAAGGCTGCCTGTGAAAAACGTAAGAGAGAAGAGAGCTTGGCAGTAGAACCCTAGGAAATACCAACATTTAAGGAATGGATGAAAAATGGAAAGAGACGAAGGGAATTGTTAAAGAGGCAAAGAGCCAGAAGACAGTGGTGTCACAGAAGCCAAAGGAAAAGAATTTTAAGGAAAAGTGGTCAACATTGTCAAATACTCCTAGGAATTCAAGAAAAACAAATCTGGTCTTCATTGGATTTCACAATAAGGAAGTTATTGTTAACCTTTACATAGCAATATTATTGGACTAATAGGGGAATTCAAATTATGATGAATTGAAGAGTAAATGAGCAATCAAGAAACAGATGAATATAAATTCAAGTTGGATGATGAAGGAAAAAAGTAGAAAAGTAGTAGATAGAAATTATAGGGATTTTCTTCCATCCCTCCCTTCCTCCCTCCCTCCTTCCCTCCTTCCTTCCCTCCCTCCCTTCCTCCCTTCCTCACTTCATTCCTTCCTTCCTCCCTCCTTCCCTCCTTTCTCTCTTTCTCTTTCTCTCTCTCTCTTTCTCTTTCTTTCTTTTCTCTCTGTCACCCAGGCTGAGTGTAGTACTGCGATCATGGCTCACTGTAGCCTCAACTTCCCAGGCTCAAGCAGTCTTCCTGCCTCAGCCTCTCAAGTAGCTGGGACTATAGGCACACACTACGCCTAGCTAATTTTTTGTATTTTTTGTAGAGATGAGGTTTCACTATGTTGCCCAGGCTGGTCTTGAACTCCTGGGCTCAAATGATCCACCAGCTATGGCCTTCCAGAGTGCTGAGATTACAGGTATAAGCCACTGCTCCTGGCCTGGGATTTTCTTTTTAAGATGAAAAAGACTTAAGCACATCTACAGTTTTGGGAAAAAGTCAGCAGAGTGGGAAAAGCTGAAAACTGAGGAAAGAGAGAGTATAATTGATAGGCCCATCAGTTATACAACTGGGAAAGGACCAAAAATTTAAATAGAAGGATTAACTTTGAAACAGAGGAGGATACAATACCTCTTTCTGTAAGACTGAAAGGAAAGTGATACAGTAGATCCAGAAATAAATAATTTAGCTAGGGAGTTTAATAGTTGAAGAATTTCTTTCTTTTCTTTCTTTCTTTCTTTTTTTTTTCCTGAGACGGAGTTTCACTCTTGTCATCCAGGCTGGACTACAGTGGCATGATCTTGTCTCACTGCAACCTTCACCTCCCAGTTCTCCTGCCTCAGCCTCCTGAGTAGCTGGTATTACAGGTGCCCACCCCCACACCAAGCTAATTTTTGTATTTTTGGTAGAGACAGGGTTTCACCATGTTGGCCAGGCTGGTCCTGAACTCCTGACCTCAGGTGATCCGCCTGCCTCAGCCTCCAAAAGTACTGGGATTGCAGACGTGAGCCACCACGCCTGGCCAGTTGAGGGATTTCTTACTTAATGATTTCTATTATCTCTGTGAAGTAAGGTCTTTACTGAAAGTGAAGAGGATGAGGAGTGAATGAAAAGCTTGAAGAAAGAGAAGAAAACTTAGATATTGCATGGCATTATGGAATATGCTGCTAAACAAAGACAAATACATAGATTATTAAGGGTATTAAAGGTCTCCAGCTAAGACTGAATGCCACAAGAGTTTGTGGCAGCTTAGATACCAGTCTTTGTGTCTGCAGTTTTCCTTAGGACCAGTTAGCTGCTCTTGTCTTAGAATAAAGAAGTCAGATTGTACTACTCTTAATTTGAGAATTTTCAGGACAAGTGCAGGAGAAGGGCAAGGATGCCTTGGATGAGAGTATGCTGGTGAAAGAGTAGCCTGAGTGGGTAGTCATGAGGTTCAGGCTGATCCATTTGGGAAGTGATAGTCTTATTGGAACTGAAGGAAATAAAGTCAGCAGTTTTCAGTCGGCTAAGTAACAAAAAGCTGGAAGACATGGAATGTTGGTTCTGGGAGTGGGATATTAGAGTATTCTTTTTTGGATGTAGAATTGTGTTGCTTCATGGATTTCGGGGTCAAGATAATCAAGATAACTAAAAAGAACAGGACAAAAGCATTAATCAATGATCAGAGACTCTCTTTCGCCTATCTCAAATGTGGCTTTACTGTCCACATTTCTTAGCAATTGCACTTTGGGAGGCCAAGGTGGGTGGATCATGAGGTCAGGAAATCGAGACCATCCTGGCCAACATTAATTTTTTTAATACAAAAATTAGCTGGGCATGGTGGCGGGTACCTGTAATCCCAACTACTCGGGAGGCTGAGGCAGGAGAATCGCTTGAAACCAGAAGGTAGAGGTTTCAGTGACCTGAGATCCTGCCACTGCACTCCAGCCTGGGCAACAAAAGTGAAACTCTGTCTCAAAAAAAAAAAATAATAATAATAACTGATACTATTTTGACTTCTAATTAAAGAATTTTTGTGGACTCTGTCTTGACCATAGCTTCTGACTCAGGAGATTCCTAATTACACCAGACCTGTCTCACAATCTGTGTATACAGGATATATTCTTTTTCTGATTTTCCCCCTACTTTTATGTCTCCTTTGCAGAATCTATCGGTCAATATTTTATACTAAAACTATAGATTTGGCTTCTAAAGCTTTACTCTTTATCTCGTTTTCTTCTTATTTAAAGACTCTAGCAAGGGCTTACCAATCTTTTTCATGTCATCACACACACAAGAAAATGATAGTATTTGTCATATACACTAGAGAAAAAGAAGGAAACTGTTTGAGGTCAGAGGTGACCTGCATAGGGACTCTGAATGCCCTGAGGGTTGAGGCAGTTATTTCTGCCCTAAGCAATTTTTACTTACTTCCATGAGCTCAGACTGTTGGTATTCAGAAACCTGAGCGTCTCTTTCTCCCTTGACATTTCTCTCTTGGTTAACTCATATTCTCTTACTTTTTTGGCAAGACTGTCATTGTAGATGTCAATATCATTTTAGACGTCCTGACTGGATCTTACATTGGATTTATGCTTATGAAATCTCTCTACTTGTAATTGTTTTGTTTTTGTCTACCTGACATCTTGACATTGACAAGACCATGCCAGAAGATGCCCAAGGCACTGTTGCAACCATTTATACAAGCAGTGAACAGCTTCGACTCTTTGCATTTGAAGCAGAAGTCAATGAGAACTTTGAAATGGCAGCAGCATATTATAAAGAGGTAATTAAACATCTCAGTGATTGTTACTATTACTTCTATAATATGGGCATAATAGTCATTTTTGAATGTTTAAAATCCAACTTGATTGGTGAAGGGGTAGGCAGAACAATAAAATAGAGTCCAAAAATAGGCTCGCACAAATAAGGTCATTCAACTTTTTCAAACGTAAAAGAAATTCAATGGAGAAAGGATAGTCTTTTCAGTAAATAGTGTTAGTAACAATTGTGGAAAATAAACCTCAACCTTAAACATATTACAAAAATCAACTCTAAATGGATCATATGTCTAAATGTAAAACATAAAACTATAACACTTTTAGAAGAAACATAGGACAAAATCTTGACCTGGAATCAGATAGAGTTCTTAGACATGACATCGAATCATGATCGATCAAAGAAAAATGTGATAAATGGAATTTCATCAAAGTTAAAAACTTTTGCTCTATTGAGGTCATAAGAGAAAGAAAAGGATTCATAAATCTGTGATGTGAAAAAAGAAAAAGAAAAGGAAAAGTACAGATTAGGAGAAAATATTTGTAAAACATATATATGACAAAGGATTTGTATCCAGAATACAAAGCACTCTCAAAAGGAAAAAATATTTGTACATAAACATTCATTATGAGTACCTATTTTTAATTATTTTGGCTACATACTTACCAATGAAATTGCTGGGACATATAGTAATTCTGTGTTTAACTTTTTGAGAATTTTGAGGCATTTCACTGGGATTTTGATAGGGATTGCCTTGTATCTGTAGCTTGCTTTGGATAGTATCAGCATCTTAACAATATTAAGCCATCCAATCCATGAACATGGAATGTCTTTCCATTTATTTATGTCTTTTTAAATTTCTTTAAGCAATTTTTATAGTTTTTACTCATCATGAATTGCATTTTTCAGATTTGTAGATAGATAAACAAATATTTGCCATCTCAAGATTATTGCAGAAATTATTATATATGGTTGATATAAAATACAATGAATCTTTAGACTCCCAAGGTATTAGATGAGTTTAGAGTGACCAGAATACTGACACTAGGAACAAATAGCTTGATGATTCAAATTTTTAATTATATCAATACTTTTTTCAACCACCTACTAAAGGCCGGAACAGTGATTGCGCTAGGCATTTGAGATTCAGTGATAAGCAAAAAAAGTCACAATCTCTGCTTTCATAGAACTTATAGTATTTATAGTGTTTACCATGTGATATTGTATGCATGAAAATATGACATAATATCACAATAACCTTGGCTCTCCTGATGCTTAGAGATTGGTTCGTGAGCCCCAGAATCTGGATCACTGGTTGGACTATGGTGCCTTCTGCCTCTTAACTGAAGACAACATCAAAGCACAAGAGTGTTTTCGGAAAGCCCTTTCCCTCAACCAGAGTCATATCCACAGGTATAGGTGGAAGGGAGATGAGGAATCAGTGGGAAGGAACAGATAAGATTCTACATGAAATTGTCTTGGTTCCATACATGTGACATGGGACCATGTTGTTTATCATGTAAGTGATCTTTTCTCAGCTTGTTGCTGTGTGGTGTCCTGGCTGTCCTACTGGAGAACTATGAGCAAGCAGAAATTTTCTTTGAGGATGCTACTTGCTTGGAACCAACTAATGTTGTAGCCTGGACTTTACTTGGTATGATATTTTCCTTTAATCTGAATGTGTTTTTTTCCCTATTATAAGATTCTCCCCTTTTCCTTTCTCTTCTTCAATAGTTCATCATGTAGTTCTTAAACGTTGGTAGAAATATGGGAAAAATAAGTGAAATACAATTCTTTAGTATATGATAGTGGAAAAATAGTCATATTTATTTCAACATTTTTCTTTCCCCAGGTTTGTACTATGAAATTCAAAACAACGATATTCGAATGGACATGGCATTTCATGAGGCCTCCAAACAGCTTCAGGCACGAATGATTCAGGCACAAGTAACAAAGCAAAAGAGCATTGGTACTGTAGAGGACATTGAGGAAGGAGGGAAGAGAGAATCCAGTTTAGGCTCTTGGGGAATCACAAATGGTTCTGCAACAGCAATCAAGATGGAAGCCCCAGCAGGTAGGGTCAGGTGTGGTAGCTCACACCTGTAGTCCTAGCAATCTGGGAGGCTGAGATGGGAGGATCACATGAGCCCAGGAGTTCAAGGTTGCAGTGAGCTGTGATCATGCCACTGCACTCCAGCCTGAGTGACAGACCAAGATCCCATCTCTAAAACAAAATTTAAAAAATAAAAAGTATTGGCCTTAAGAAGAGAAGCTGGCACATAATAGGCACTCAGTAAATTTTGTTAAATGAATGAATACATGGAGTTTGAGTTATGTCAGGGATACCAGGAAAAACTCTTAACTTCTAAATATTTCCTCATTCATATAATTAGTGGTCTGAAGCTTCTACTGCTGAGATGCAGTTGTTTTAATCTTAGATAATTTACTGTCTTTAGAAGGGATACCATGCTATCAGAGTAAATTTCATTCCCCCCCCCCACTTTTCTCTCCATCACATAAAGTCCCTCTCTTATGATTCTCAAATTTATTTATTTATGTACTCCCTTTCCCTCACTGTTCTGTGATTCTCTTTTCCTCCACTTTAGGAAATCAGTCATTCTAATGTGTGGTATACATGTTTTTGTTTGTGTGTTCCTTGCATGTGTGCATTATTATTTTGTTTGCCTACACTTTTTTTTTATTGCATTTTAGGTTTTGGGGTACATGTGAAGAACACGCAAGATTGTTGCATAGGTACACACATGGCAGTGTGATTTGCTGCCTTCCTCCCCTTCACCTATATCTGGCATTTCTCCCCATCCTATCTCTCCCCACCTCCCCACCCCCCACTGTCCCTCCCCTATTTACCCCCAACAGACCCCAGTGCTCCCCTCCCTGTGTCCATGTGTTCTCATTGTTCAACACCCACCTATGAGTGAGAACATGCAGTGTTTGATTTTCTGCTCTTCTGTCAGTTTGCTGAGAATGATGGTTTCCAGGTTCATCCATGTCCCTACAAAGGACAAAAATTCATCATTTTTTATGGCTGCATAATATTCCATGGCATATATGTACCACATTTTCCCTGTCCAGTCTATCATCAATGGGCATTTGGGTTGGTTCCAGGTCTTTGCTATTGTAAACAGTGCTGCAATGAACATTCGCATACGTGTGTCCTTATAGTAGAACGATTTATAATCCTTTGGATATATGCTCAGTAACGGGATTGCTGGGTCAAATGGAATTTCTATTTCTAGGTCCTTGAGGAATCGCCACACTGTCTTCCACAATGGTTGAACTAATTTACACTCCCA